CCCCAAAACCCCAAAACCCCACTTATTGTTAGATTTAAATGTATATAAGTTTTTATTATTAAAAATAAGATTTGAAAATAATAAAATAAAAATGCAATCATAAGCCTTAAATAGTCTCACTGCTTTTCAGTTCCTATAAATCTTATCAGTGTCAAATAAAAGGTCCTTCTGAAACTTATATCCTTTCAAGATAGATTCACAGAACTGAGCTTTTTGTTTCACTAAAAAGGTGAATAAAAATTAATAGAAATTACAGAACTTATCTTGATTGATGGCTCTTTGCTTGATATAAATGATATGAGAGATATTAAAGTTATATGTGATTGAAATAATTCTAAGTTGCTCTAAAAAGGCTATCTCGTCTTATTGCAGAAGTTGCTAGTATTATTCCTTGTCCTTATCATTCTTCTTTTTTCTTCCCAAATCATATCTAGCCTTGTCAAGATGCTTCTGAATAAAATCCAATATGTTTTCATGTGTACTTGGCTACTATTGATGGTACTACATATTTACATGATCTATTTCTCTATTCATTTGTGAATGACTAATCCTCGGTTTGGCTTGCTGACTCTTTGAATATATTCTAGCATAATCGTTTTGAAAATGATTCCTCATATCTGGCATGATTTGATTACATTACTTGGATTGCAAACTGTGCATAGATTTATTCATCTCAGAATACTGATTATAGGCCTTGCTTTTGCTATTAACGGTATTCAAATCCTGAAAACTTCTTTTCTTAGATTAGAAGATTCCTTTAGATTGACTAAAAAATATTGTTGATAATAAAGATTTCTTACATATTGTTCTTCATCTAGTCATTTACTCTGTAATTTTAATGGGAATAATCTTCAATCTTATTTGATTCAAACTTTAATTGGTTTATCTGATCTGCTGGCCTAATTGGTCTTTTTTCCATCATTTCAGAATTATATTTTTGATTTTATATTTAAGGATACTGTTATAGATGAGTGCTCCGATTTGATACCATTCTATCATTCTTGCTAATCTGAGGCTAAATATCATTATAGTAGTTCTTAGACGAATTCTTGACCTTTTCCTCAACTTCCATAAGAAATTATTCATACTATAGATAGATTTTTATTGCATCTTTAAAAGATTTTAACTTACTGAAAAATGGCTTCCTTTTGAATCAGGTTCTTGCTGATCTCCACTCACGTTTAACAATGTGTTTCCAAACGAAAAATCTCTTTGATGAGAGTATCTATCTTCTTCAGCTTCATTGGACTTTGATTCTTCGTCATTTTTAAGTACCTCGAGCTAGGTTAGATCTAATTCCATTTAGAGGACACTTTCTCTTGGTTAGAATTCAATCGATCTATCCTCTCTAGTTTGGTTAGTGTCAAAATATCTGTCATTTTCCTGTGCCTTGTTGATTCTCTTGTTCTTCTTCGGAGCTCTAAACTGAAACTAAAGTTTTTAGTCTTTGCTTTTGCTAGAACTTTAGTTATAATCCACTTGCTACATTATCTATGGAGTTTAGTAAGAATTCTAGGCTGTTGTGGTGAATTCATGCATATTTGAAGTAGCATCTAGTATAGAGTTTAGTAATCTTATTAATTTTACTTTCTTGTTGTTCATGATGAGGACTAGTAGTGGTTTTCCTGCTCTGATCTTATTATCTGTTTCCTTTTCTTTCTCTCTGATTGGATTTATTCCCACTGTTATTGGCATTGCTTGCTCGTTTTTGAGCATTAGAGCTACTTCTAGTATGATACATATTCTAAGTTTATCAGAAATTTAATTATAAAAGAGTTGCCAATATTAAAATTGAATATCTTATTATGGGGTTTTGGGGTTTTGGGGTTTTGGGGTTTTGGGG